GTCGAGTTCTTAGAATTAGATTTAGACGCTTTATCGCGACGAATTCGTTGTACGAAAATTGACACGGATGTGTGACTGCGTGTATCATAGGCTGCGTGAGATATTGCTGTGGTAGTATAAAAAGACATGTCCATGTGCGGTGCGCGGCCGGCGGCGCGACATCTAGTGATTTCGTCGGAGTTCGAGCTTTGCTTTAGGATCCCCTTAAGATACCACCACTTCTGAATATTTATTAACTTATTATTACAAAATTGATGAATATTATCTTACCCGTAAGCGAAACCGTGTAACGTTTAGCAATGCAGCTATATTTGAATATAATTGCAGTTTCGTTTTTATCCTTTAACTTATTGAATATATATCGTACCTCTATGAATAAATTCTTCACCTATTATTTTATTAATTTTCTATATTGTCTTCGTACATATCAAAAACATTTTGTGCTATAAAAATTTTATGATAGACAAGTTAATTTTATTTAACGGATACTCATTAAGTTATGAACTTACAATTTCTATCTTAAGATAGAATGCATTATATTGTATCATGCTCAACATGAACATAGATACGAAAGACAACACTTTTATTACAAGGTCTAAAGTACATTTTAATGTTATTATTGGTGTCAACTGCAAAAAGTTAATTTTACACAATTTCATATACATATATATATATGATTTTAGAAAAAGCGATATATTATCTTTTAAAAACAGCATATATTTTAACGGTTACTTATACAAATAAATGTTTATACATACAATTATTACCAACAACTTGCACCCCTATAGCGAGTACTTTGTAGTTTCTCATTTGATATAAAAGTTAAATTGCATAATATGTATTGATATAAATAATTGTAGTGAAATATTGTCATGCAGTAATTTATATTATGTAATAATGTTATGTTTTTTTTTACCTGAAATACAATACCTGCCGACAAAATGGCACAGAAGAAAATAAACTGAAATTGAGTAAATTTGGATTGTTGATAAGGCCATAAACCGATAGTAAGCAATAGAATTTTATTGATATTATTATACTCATTTTCTGGATGTATCATTTTCTCTTCTAGCGTCAAAGGATTACTGTGAAGTCTGAACATCGTTGAGAGTATGTTTACCCCATTTTTTCACTATTTGACTAAATATTTCACATTTTCATGTTTTCTGGTATAATTTTACCGTAAATTTCATCATAATTTATAATGATTGATTATACGAACGTTTGCTATGTAAGGTCTAATGACACTAAATTTAACTACTCTGTCAGTAAATTGCGAACGTTTATGTTATTGATTTGATACTATAGGTTATTCGACGGTTATTTTCTCATGAAACTAAGTTATCTGTCACGCATGCGCATTTTCTCTCTCTCAACGCCAGAACTTCATTCTAGTTTACGCAGTTGCCCAATACACTCCGAGAGAATATCGCTTTTCTTTAATTTTTTTCGCTATTCTGATCTATCTGATAACGTTCATAAATTGAAAATGGTATATAACGCAATAATATATAATGTTATTACATTTAAAAATTGCGTTTGACGCAATTAATATTTCAGCAATCTCAAGTGCCGAATTCTGATTTGTAAGTTTTTTGTGTATAATTGAACATTGTTAACGGTATAATACTCTTTCCTTTTTATTTATTTATTTTTTAGTTTCTACCATTCATGAAATTTTTGAACTTATGTACAATATTTACATATGTTGATGTAAAAGTAATTAATTAAGTGTAATAATTTTATACGTTGATAATAAATTTAGCAGGCAAAAATTTTATTTGCCTATAATGTAAAGTACATAAACATTCGTTTTAATATATTTCAACAGTTATGTAAATATTGGTTATATATGTATATATTTTAGAATTTTACTGTAGAAACTCGAAGTACTAATATCTTGATTCTTTTTTTCTACCAGAAAAATGTGTACTTTAAAAGGAATTACTGACTTATAAAGAATTAAATTTGAATCAAAGAATAAATTATTTCGCATATGTGTGGAGGGAAAATATTTTCGTACTTTAAATTATTCTACTTTTGTAAAAAAAACTGTACTGTATATTGATTTGTACAGAAAAATTATTTCTTTCAATTAACCCTTACCGTACCTATATGGGTAACTAGTGACCGAGCGATTCCTGTTCGTGCAAGTTTCTTTGAGTCTTTCGGTAATTCTAAATTATACTACATTTTATTATTTTTCAAAATAAAGAGTCAATATTTATTCTAGAAAGTTGAAAGTATATTGGTGAATTTTTAGAGATTTTTTAAATTATTTTAAAGAGGTGAATAAACAAAGAGATTCTAGTGATCCTTGATGATATGGATGAGGCACCAAATTGTAGAGGGTATGGTAAGGGTTAAAATATTTCATTTATGTTAAAATATTGTTATACATCACTGACTGTCTACACTGACGTAATGGTAACACAATACATAAATGCACGTTTATGACCTGTATATTTGCTTATGACAAATTTTCAATTGCAATTAAGGAAGAGTATATAATTTATAATGTGCAATTTTATATTTTCTTTTGAAACGATACATTTTGTCTACATCAATCGCTTTATCTTATTACTGTTTAATACTGCTTATTATAGGTAGTGTAAGATAGTCACAATTTATATTAAGGTAACCAGACTCTACTATGATTTACTTAAGCAAGTTTTTTAAATTGTTTACTGACAATGAGTCCAAAATTTGAGAAATGTTTGTAAATATTAGAAAAAACGTGAAACGTTATTAAATATTTAAATATAGTAAAAATTTTAGAAGGTAATTGTTTAGGAGTACATATGTGTCAAATATTAACAACATTTTTTCTTTTTATTTCTTTTATTTAATATTTTAACGTATGTTATTTATCAATGAAATGTCTGAACATAATTATTTATTTATATAAATGTTGAAATGAAATATATTAATTAAAAAAGATATTTTTTGCATTATATATTAATAAATCCTGTGTTCAAAATATCTTATTTAAATATGAAATATTTAAACATGCGCTGTTTATATTTGAACTATGGATAGTGTATACAGGAAGGAACATCACGTTCGCCAACAAAACGATTGCCTACATCTTTGTTTGCACACGATATTGTTCAGACGACTATGTTGTCCATAATGCATTGATTATACAACTATAATGCACATAGCGCATTGCACGTACGACAAGTGTGTTACCTATGACCGCTTCGCACACATGCTATTCGGCAGGCATGCACATTGCAAACAAAGAAAGTCCATAATTGTTCGATACCATATTGGCTTTCAAGTTTGACCGCAAAGTAAAATTTTAAAATGTGTATGTATGCAGTGTGAAAACAAGCTACTTTAATTTAAATAACTTCAATTTTATTCTATAACACAGGAATATATCTATCTGTACACATGTTGAAAAAGTGAATCTATTATTTTCAAAGCGCAATTATCATTTTTTATTAACTGGTTTTTTTATTAACTTATGGTGTTATTATGATAATAATAAATTAATAAATGTTTATTTTGTCATTGTGTAGAATGCATGACTGTAAAATAAGATATGGACGCTTTTATTAGCTGCAATTATAAATATACTTTTTTATTATTATATATATGTACGTAAGTGGATACTAAAATATTCCTCAAAATATTACCGTTGCAAAACCCTGTATGGATGCATCAAATACTCCACCGATATTTAATGAAAATTCCTTGGCTCCTCTTTGCAGTAAAAATAGTATCATTCTTTGTATATGTAATGGGGTTTTATACCACTGACCGTTGTACCTACAGGATTGAATATAGAAATAGTAGATTGCTTAGACTTCAGATTGGATTCCTTAATGAACTAATTTTGGCATATTTTGATTTAAATGCCGTAGATTAATTTCTATATCTGTTGATGAAACAAATGCAAAAGCAACCTTCGCAGATACTCCCATACAAAAATGTTTTCCTTACGCAGTAACAAATACGTGATTATTGTGGTCAATTATCTTCTGTCCGAAATAGTTGGCTAGAAACATGTATATGATGCATACTGACGCAAACACAAAAGAAAATAAAAACTCGCTGACGTTTGTTCTATTGTTTTCAGATGATGCTATCTGAAACAGCTAAGAAACAAATTTTACATAGTAAATATCAATCTTCTATATATATGTCTCTGTTCTAACCAGGGACCCGGACCGAAAGGTTTTTTCGATTCGGTTCCGGTCCCGGTTTAATAAAATATCAAATAAATGTTCCGATTTCAGTTCCGGTTTTTTTTTTAACAGTAAAGAAAACCGAAACTGTAAAAATTACGGTTTTTTAACGGTTCTTTTTTCGGGGTACTTACTTACTTAATTTTATTTATTCCTTAAATTTGTTTTATTAAAAAGAAGGAGGGGAAGGAGAGGAGAGGCGGAGGGAGATGAGAGGGGGGAGGAAAAGGAGAGGGAGGGAAGGGATGAGGAGAGAGGGGGTCGGAGGGAGGGAGAGAGAGAGGGAGAGGGAGGGAGCGTGTTCATCCGTTCAATCTAGAAAGCCTAGTCGAAAAGAGGCGTCAATTGATCACGTGACTCTGAATAAAAATTACGTAAACATTATTTTAGGCATATTTTTCTCAGTCGTTTCTTACAACTTATTTCTTATGGATAGATCTTACTTATTATATAAAGTCTACATATATATTCTTGAATTTCATGACTTAGAATAAATTCTTGCAACATGTTGGTGAGGAAGATCTAAATAAAAGAAATGCTAGTATCTTAAAAAAAGTTTACATTAAATATGTTTCGCTATCCCGCCAGATTTCTTATATCATATGAGGTGTTGGAGGTATTTACATTCTGTTTATTAAGAGAAGTGGTGATGGTAATACTGGATTGAATATTGCCATATTGGTGATTTGAACGAAGGAACGGGCAGAACGAAGATTAAAAACAAGGATAAAGATTAAAAATTAAGAATTGAAAAAAGAACCGAAAAAAACCATAAAATTTTACCAGTTCGGTTATGGTTTCGGTATTATGAACTATACAAAATTTGGGTACGGTTTTGGTTTCGGTTCACTAAAAAAAGGGTTCCGAACCGGTTTTCGGTTCCGATTTTGGTTCGGTCTGGGTCCCTGACCTAACTATCAATCTATAATGTGCAAGTTTTACTTATTCCTACAACTAAGATGTCTTTTACAGTTCGATTACATATATTCACTTTTACGAATAAGTAAAAATTTCGAATTCGAAGTCACATTTGACCATATGTATTAATGCTTACATGAATTATTATACCTACAACTCGATTGCTTACAAGCACTTTTGAGCACAAATATAAAATTAATGTTAAATTACTTAAGAAAGTTATTTATGTTTTTAAAGCAGAAAATAGTACATGTAGGCGATCAAGTGGTAGGCAATAATACATGTAAGCAATCGAGCTATAGATAAAAATGTATGTAGGCAAATGTGATATTCTCTCTCTCTCTCTCTCTCTCTCTCTCTCTCTCTCTCTCTCTCTTCTTCCTGAAATTTTTATAAGTCCGCAAAAATGTATGTTATACTGGCACTAGAGCTGTAGGCAATAATTATTGTGCGCAAACAAACTGTAAGCAATTGTGACGCAAGCAATTTATTTGTGATGTTTTTTATAATGTTTGACAATAAATATTCTACAAAATGCATTAATGATGTGTACCTACAATGTTATTATAATTTGTAATCAAATATGTTTGATTAGGTTTTACGTTATTTTTCTCCTTATGACATTTACAAGTGTATGTATATAGTATCGAATTCATCATGTATAATACATATTATTTAGCTTTTGTTTAAGATTTGTATGTGGTATTTATTTGTTGAATTTAGATTTACATATATTTATAAAATCACAGTATTAGTAATAAATAAAAATTTCAATGCAGCCGTCATATATTGTGTTACATAAAACCATAAACTTACTTGATATAAATTGCAAGTAAAACAAACTACTACACATCCCGTGAAACACGATATCATTATTTTGAATGTGGTCATGAAATGATTCATCATTCTTAAAAATAAGAATATTAGTGAATATTAGTAAATGTATTGCACCATGTAAAAAACATAGATACATACTTCATAGCTTGACGATGAATGTCTACGGCACAAATTATACCTTCGATCATCAAAATTTTATTTTTTGTTGCAATATTTCGTGGAATATTATTGTTTACTGCATGCTTAATACGATAGCTGCAATTTTTTTTTATTAATTAAATATTAATTTCATATAACAGTTAAAATTATTATGTTCTTATGTCTACGTTCATACCTAGCAATTTTAAATATTCCACAAATATGCTCAATATATATAATGAGCATTGTACCTGTTCCCATCATTATAATCGGTCCAATACATAGTACTGTGTACATATGAAACAGAATCCAATAGAAGTACTTTTCTTGATCAACAATGTACTCTGTCATAATGATTAAATGATGTGATTGAGATGTGTTCACTGTATTGACATGAGCTATAAACGACCAAATTTGAGCTATTATGAGAATGAATAATCCACAAATTCCAAATACTAAAAAGAAGTAAAAAGAATTTATTTAATTTCTTAGTATCTAAAATTATTTTATGTATGCTATGCGCATGTATTATGCAATAATTTTTATTTCGTTTTTTCCTGCAAAATTGGGAGCTGTATTATTTTATGTGTACGTTGTATTATAAAACATTATTAATTATCGCGATAAGATTAAACTTCGCCGATGATCTTGACTTTGGCATATGTTGTCAAGGTCATGACTTTGAGTAACCTCTAACAGGTTTCATCCGTCGGTCGCCATTCGTTAAAAAGTTATTGACAAGGAAAAAAACAATTTAAAAAAAAAACGTATCATGTTTGCTATAACGAAGGTTGTCAATCCATATAGAATCTCGCTTTGTGTTGTAAAGTGTAAATAAGACATAGTATAAGAAATTGAATACAGGAGAAGTAGTTTATGGGCGTACGACTTCCATGTGACGCGATTCTTACCCCATGTTAATAAAAGTTGCTTCCCGTGAAGAGTCGTGTGTCTCATGACAAAGGGAGTAATAGATGGAAATCGCTTATGGTGAAAGTTGTACGCCCCCAAGCTGTACTTCCCCAAGGGGAAGTGGTATGGGAGTCATTCAAATGAAAGTTGTGTGCCCCTATGCGCTACTATTACCAAATGGTATAATAACAAAAATGATAAGAATACGTTTCTAAAAAATTTTAGTTTTTAAAGCAGAAACTCGATTTTAAGCTAGAGAAAGTTTGTTCTATAGTAGAAAAGAGACGATATTTTTTTAAACTTCTTTTTTGAGTATGTGAAGTTAGCACCCCAACTATAATACTCAGGAGTTCTGATTAGAGTTCCCGTTTCTTTTTGACGAGACAAAGAGTTCTATATAATTTATAACAAAAGAGTTCCGCTTAATAAGTATTTTTAAACAATTTTTAAAAAATGGGGTGCTAACTTCTTATCGAAAATCGAGATTCAATAGTTCTGAAGCGTTCTGGGCAGTTCTCGACGAGCTCTAACGAAAAGTATGAGGTGAAAAAGCGATTGGGCCAACGATTTGCGAGATACGCTATATTGGAAGGGTCATTAAAAATTTTTTGAAAGTACTGAGTAGTTCTGATCGGCTTTCTGGGCAGTTCTCGACGAGCTCTAACGAAAAATATCAGGTGAAAAAGCGATTGAGCCAACGGTTTTCGAGATATGGGAACATTTGAACTCTATCACTGAAAATTTTCTAAGTCCGACGTCGAAAATTTTTTGAGAGTACTGAGTAGTTCTGACTGGCATTCTGGGCAGTTTTCGACGAGCCCTGACGAAAAGTATTAGGTGAAAATGCGATTGGATGGCTACATAAGAAGATATGTGCTTTTGCAACCAATTTTTCAAATTTTGTTTTATGTACATATCTCTTTTTGGGTCTGTGTTGATTTTAATTGCTAAGAACTCTTCGAAATAGACAGAATGACAATTAACATGTGACAGAACTATTGTATAAAAAAATTTTTTCAAAATTTTTTTATTTTTTTTTCATAAATTTTGTTGTATGTCGAAATTGTTTTTTATGTATTAGGAACTCTAGGTATTCACAAAATAAAGCTATTAAGCTGCTCAGAACTATTCGAGCTCGAATTTCGATAAAAAGTTAGCACCTCATTTTTTAAAAATTGTTTAAAAATTGTTATTAAGGGAATCTTGAGTTAAAAAGTACAGAGAACTCTTCGTATCGTTGAAAGGAAGCAGGGACTCTATTCAGAACTATTGTATCCAAAAATTGATTTTTCAAAAATTTTTAATTTTTTGTTTATTTTTCAAAAATTTTTTTATGTATCAGGAACTCTAGGTATTCACGAAATGAAGCTATTGGGCCGCTCAGAACTATTGGATCTCGATTGTCGATAAGAAGTTAGCACCCCATTTTTAAAAAATTGTTTAAAAATACTTATTAAGCGGAACTCTTTTGTTATAAATTATATAGAACTGTTTGTCTCGTTAAAAAGAAACGGGAACTCTAATCAGAACTCCTGAATACTATAGTTGGGGTGCTAACTTCACATACCCTTCTTTTTTTAATAATTTTTTAGTGATGGCGATTGCCGGCTAAAACCTGTTGGAGATTATTCATGGTCATGTTATTATATAACTAATAACTATTTTAAATTTTATCTGATGTATCATATATACTAAACACATTAGTAATTTCTGGCAGATGCACATATATGTTGTCTAAATTTCCTGGAGTGATATTTTACAATAGACTTAGAGTGACTTAGAGTGTGACAGATGCTTCAACAGATTCATGTAAAAAACCATATTAAAGCAGACGGATGTATGAAAGAGTACATGTTCAGAAGAGGTAATCCACTGAAATTGCGATTTTTTTCTCGGTAATGAATAAAACTAGATATAAAAAGTTATTTATATAATGTTTTAAGAGGAAGCTTCTGGTTTTTGTGAGGAAAAATTCTATTTCGAATAGAATGAACACAAAAATCTGTTTCCGACTGTATACTATAATTATTATAAATATAAAGACCATTCTAGTGTGACCCTTTATGAATGAGGTCCATCCCATTTCCCTCCACTCCCTGCCTACTAATTTACGACTTTTTTCGTAAAACGCGTTCCATTCTTGCTAAGGGGCGTACAACTTTTTATTCAGGCACATCCTGCTTCGTGTGGAAGTTCGCGCGCTCTTTAACGAGAGGAAAGTGAAGTATCCATACATTTTTTATTTTTGAAAACGTTTTACATCTCATATCTATATTGATACATATAATAATATATAGAAGACAAATAAATTTTATACATTAAATTTCAGTAAAAAATAAAACTGTCTTATTCATATATGAAATATTTCCCATAAAAACAAACCCTTTTTTCAAACAATGTGTCTTGTAATAATTAGTTTTGTTCATTACTGAAAAAAAAACCGCGATTTTTAAAGGACCGCCACATCTAAATATTTACCAACTGTAAATATTATTACAAAATGATGAATGTTATCTTACCCGTAATCGCAACCGTGTAACGTTTAGCAATGCAACTATATTTGTATATAATTGCAATTTCGTTTTTATCCTTTAACTTATTGAATATATATCGTACCTCTATGAATAAATTCTTCACCTATTATTTTATTAATTTTCTACACTGTCTTTGAATATATCAAAAACACTTTGTGCAATAAAAATTTGTTGATAGACAAATTATTTCTATTTAACAGATACTTGATAAGTTATGAACTTACAATTTCATTGTTAAGATGGAATGCGTTATATTTTATTATGCACAATATGTAGAAAGATGCGAAAGACAGCACCTTTATTACAAGGTCTAAAGTACATTTTAATGTTATTATTGGTGTCAACTGCAAAAAGTCAATTTTACACAATTTTATATATAAATATATTTATAATTATAAAAAATGCGATATATTATATTTTAAAAACAGCATTTTAACGATTACATATATACAAATAAGTGCTTATACATACAATTATTAACCAAACTTGCACCCCTATAGCGAGTACTTTGTAGATTCTCATTTGATATAAAAATTAAATTGCATAATATGTATTGATATAAATAATTGTAGTGAAATATTTTCATGCAGTAATTTATATTATGTAATAATGTTAGGTTATTTTTTACCTGAAATACAATACCTGTGGACAAAACAGCATAGAGGAAAATAAACTGAAATTGAGTAAATTTAGATTGTTGATAAGGCCATAAACCGACAGCAAGCATTAGAATTTTATTGATATTATTATACTCATTTTTTTCTGGATGTATCATTTTCTCTTTGAGTGTCAAAGTATTACTGTGAAGTCTGAACATCGTTGAGAGTATGCTAACTGCTAATCCTATTTTTTTTAGTATTTGACTAAATATTTCACATCCTCATGTTTTCTGATATATTTTTACCATAAATTTCATCATAATCTATAATGATTGGTTGTGTAAATGTTTGCTATGTAAGGTCTAACGACATTAAATTTAACTACTCTCTCGGAAAATTACGAATGTTTATATTATTGATTTGATACTACAGGTAATTCGACGAATGCTATTTTCTCATGAAAATAAGTTATTTGTCACGCATGCGCATTTTCTCTCTCTCAATGCCAGAACTTCATTCTAGTTTACGCAGTTGCCCGATACACTCCGAGAGAATATCGCTTTTCTTTAATTTTTTTCGCTATTCTGATCTATCCGATATTACACAAGAATAAATAACGGGCAATTAAGAGCCTAAAAAACGCAGTAATTCGTGCGGTACTTATATACATATAATTCAAAAATGTCTATCACATGAATGTTTCGGCTATGTTCAAGCCATCCTCAGCATTTTGCAGTTCTTAATCCTAACAAGAAGACGATCCAAAGTTCAAACCATGGAGTGCAGTAAGTAAATCTCACCGATTACCTTATTCGGAGAGCATACGTAATCCTCAATTAGTTGATTAATGACAACTAAATCAAAACTTTTGTATGCTCTTAATTGCCCGTTATTTATATATATATATATATATATATATAT